AACCTTCACAAACATATGCATCCCTTGCCCTAGGGCCAATAGCCAAGCATCCTCCCCCATCACAGAGGAGGTGCCCACTCACCTCTGTTCGGTCTCCAGATCTTCTCCATGCCATGCCTCATGAGCACAATGCGCGATAGCTCCGTGAAGGACTCAATGACGTTGAAATTGCACAGCGGACTGACCTCAAAGAACGTCATGCAGTTTTTCTCAGCATAGGCGCGGGCTTGCTCTGTGGGCACCTGCCGCTTGAAGGCAAGGTGCAGCCTGTTCCCAACCAAGATCCGGGGCACACCTGGGGCATGCTGCAAGAGAGCAGGACCTGTTACTATGGGACAGTAAAGACTCATGCCAGTGAATCCAAGAGCCATGACAGGTTTGTGTGCTGCTCTGCACAGGCATCCACCTGGACAGGAGTGGATGTGGAGTCCCTGCTATGGTCAATCACTGCAAAATGCACAGCATAGCCATGCCAGGCCTTTGTCACAGACCAGCCCCTCATGTTCTGTTTGACAGAGAACCCCCCTTGTGCTCCTGGCCCATCATTCTCTGCCCGATCATATCAAACCCCTGCATTACAGAATTCTAGCCAAGCTCATTGTACTCATTCAGTCAGTGAACTGCATCTGCTGACAGAAGATTCTTCCTGCACCTGCAGTTCTTCTGTAACAGCTCTAGATTATACTGGCAAAGTCAATTTTCCAGCAAGTGCCATTCAGGTGGCTCTGCTACATCCAGGCTGTCACTCAGTTGGCTGTGGCAGAATCCAAGGAGACCTAGGACTTATGACCAGATTAGCTTCAGATGCCAGTACAGAAATATATATGTTAGAGGTATACAGCACTGAAAGTGCCCAGAAGCTCCACTGCAACAGTAAAATAAAAGCTAACAGACACACACACACACACACACACACACACACGTATATATCCATCCTAATGCTCCTCTTACCTCATCAATTTCCTTTATCCATCGGTCTATGCCATCGAAGGACCACCGGTTAGTGATGTCATATACCAAGAGAATTCCCTGTGTAGAAGAGAACGTATGACTGGTAAGTTACATACACAAACTGATGCAACTGGAAAGATGTCTGTCCCCTCAGTTTTGCACTGGAGAGAGAGAAATATTTGACATGAGAGGATGAAGGCAGTTTGTCCAATTTCTCCGAGTTTAAAGTGTGGAAAGAATGAGTCATGAAACATGTGACAGGCTGCGCCAAGTCACATCAGCTAACTTAGGGGTGTCAAACTCACCCTCTGTCCGGGGCTGGATACAAACTATGGGGCTCCTTGCAGGCTGGATCTACATGCAAGCAGTGGCAGCAGTATAAGTGGCTGCTTGCTCCATGCAACAGAGGCAGTGCAAACTGCAGGACGAACAGTGGTGTGCCAAGCACCCACAGGCTCAATGGCCACAGAGACGTGTTGACACAACCCTCACTCAGCCCAGCCCCCCCACCCCTCCCCTCCGCAATGTCCAACAGGGCCCTGGATTGTGTGGCAGATCCTCTTCCCAAATTCCCTGGCCCACCAGGAGCCCAACAGGCCAGATGGAGTGGCTTTGTGGGCTGGATCTGGCCTGAGGGGCATACGTTTGATACCCCTGAGCTAACCAAAAGATTTGAGCCCTTCCAGCTTTGGGAGAGGAGACTGGTTTTGGTCTGCAACTCCTGATTTCCAATGGCACCATCTATTATGACTGAGAAAGAACGAGACAGGAAGAACATTGTGAGACTGGCACTTGGGTTCAGGTAGCAAATTTGCAGGCCAACAGTTAGAAGAAAAATTAGATCCTTGTCCAGTAGGAAGTTTGCTACAGAATCACTGGAACAGAAACAAGGCAATCTACACAGAAGAACTGTCCTTGAAGGCATGCTGGCAACCAAGCTGACAAAGCACAGCACATTCAGTACACTGTGTGCAGATACCTTTTGCCAAGAGCTGTTCCACATTGCTCTATTTTAATTTTGGTAGAAAAAACATTTTGCATTTGAGAAAGTTTGCTGACCTGAAAAGCAGGGGTCCGGACTCAGTCAGATTGTCCCATTCCCATGTGAGCTTTCAAACGATGGAACAACACTCAGCAGAGCTTTAAGACAGCACCCATCCAGCTACTTCACCCTTTGGCCCCCGCACAGTTCTGCAGCTTACTTCTCTACAGTACTGTAGCAAGGAAGTTTGGCACCTGGGGCAAGCCCACAGCAGCAGCCTGCCCTTGCCCTGCACACAGATCCGGGGGGAATGGGAGCTACATGCCCCCACCCATGCTTGCCCAGGAGTGGATGCAGCAGCAGGAGCCGTCTCTGGACCCCTCCCCCCCAAACTGCTCACTGCTCTGTTCTGCCCCCTGCCCCAGCTGAGCAGTGCCTGTTGGCACCCCTTTGCTTTGGCACCCGAGGCAGATGCCCCACTTGCCCCGCTACCCAGTTGCTACAGTACTGCTCCTGTAACCTTCAAAGCAAAGCACTTTCAAGTACCCCTTTAAGGCCTGACATCCTGAATCCTGTGTTATTTCAGATGGTTCTGGGATGTGCACAAAAGGAGACTAAGGACTGGGATTTTGAGCAAAGGAGACTTAGTCTACACTGAACTGCTTTGCTGGCATAGCTGTATCAGTGAGGAGCATGAGAAGTCATGCTGCTACGCAACTAGGCTACCTG